TGTCGGCCCATTCTCCGGAAAACAACCCACTAGCCTAGCGTTTTGGCGAGTTGGAACTCGTCGAACTTTAGCTGTGGGGTGTCTTGGCGGCCAAATGTGCTCGCACGAAGACCACATTCGGTGCAACGCTCCGAATGAACGGTAATGCTTCGGGTCGGCGCCGTCGATCTAGCTGCTTCAAACATCAAGCCTCCTTCCTCCTCGTCGACTCGGCCGCAGCTGTGGGCCGCGGGCGGGCGGCGGAAGTGGCTCTTCGTTTGGATCTCACTTCATTGTGCCGCAGTCTCGAGTGTAGATACATATCCACTCCGTTGATCAGCCGAAGTTTATCAGAGGTGAATCTGCGCTTGTTGATTTTCCGATGCAAAACATCCAGAGATCATCGCTGCTGCCGGGCCTGCTCTACACGTACACTAAATGCAAGCAAGTCAGAAACAGGCGGACTGTGACCATCGGGCGGAGCGGCGGCGGCCGTGTCTCTCCTCGCGTCAACCAAGGTCTGAGACACCGAATGCCTCCGATGCTCTTGTCGCACATATCACATGTTGAGCTTTTTTGCGAGTTTCGTTAGCCTTCACCTGGCCTGTGACCCCGCTTCTCGTGGGTGTGCGGGGATATTTCGCCTTGGATCTGCGTTCAAGATACCGTCGGCGCGTCTTTGCCTTTGCTTGTCGGGGCTGAATCCAATCAACTCTCGGCTTGGCCGGCAAATACGGACATGGTGGCCAAGAATAGGTGTGGCACCTCGGAACGGGCTGGCGGCCTTGCAAGTCATTTGCTGGTTGTAAATCTCGACCCGAGGCGGTGAGGCTGCAGGATACCGGCGCAGGTTCGAGGGAGGGGGGACGACGTGCATCTTTTCGTCGAAACTTGCGTTTTTGTGCATGGCGGGTTGGCGGGGTCGAAAAGGCTCGATGGCGAAAAATCATCGACGGTGAGAATTTGCACGATATCCCCTCTGTATCAAGCACTGTGCTTTCCTAGCAAACCCCGAACCCGTTGGATCGAGTGGCTGACGTTGCGAGGACACCGTATTCCGTAGTGAGATAGTTGACCTCCCATATCTGCGTCAATCTACCCCCGTGGCCCCCCTTTCCCTCAACTATTTGACCGCCTAAGCGCGCTATCCGGCGGAGCAACAGTGGAAACACTTTAACTAGTGTATCTTTAACGACCTCGTTCTGTATTTTGTCAAGAATTCGATGCGGTGGGGGCCGGAAATCCACACCTTCGTGAAGATGGAGGTGCTGTTGGTGCTGCTGTGTGGTTGCAGGGATGCAAGGCCAGAAGTCGAATGACACGCCGCTCACACACCACCCTTTTCCCAATCAGACGTCGCTGATGCAGGCTTGGAAAGCAAAATGACATAATTGCCTCCCCTTCATTCGGGTGCTGAGAGGGAAACCGTGTGCCGCATGAGTCCATCTCAATAGCCGGTGGTTGATATTATTCGGCTTTCGGGAAAATCAGCGACGAGACAGATGGCAGTCATGGGTGCCCGTCCCTCCTCCGGAGCGGCGATCAAGGGGCCGAACAAAAGATGGTGGTGGGTGTTGATCTTTCCACTCGATGCCGTCCGTCCGATGAGGTGGGTGGGAGAGAAAAGAGCCGCCGCAAGCGCCAGTTCAGGCAGATGTTGTTAAAGATCCGACGGGGTTTTCTCATGAAGTGGTGTTGTGTCGCTCATTCGTCGCCATGAGAGCCATGGGATGAACGGCCCGGGTTGGAATAGGCTTGGAATTGGATTGTTGCGTGATGAATCGGATTGTTTCTCTCGCATTCAAAGATTGGGATGGGGGGACGTGCCCCCGTTGCCCCCAAAGGCTAGGTAGCATTCCTGGGGGGATCCCCTGTCTGCTTGGCTCCGCAGGGTCTTTTGTGGATTTTCTCCCACGGGACAACGGCACCAGACACTGGGCTCAGCGACCATTTTGACCCCCATGCCCCTTTCGATGATCGAGCATCGACACTGCAAAGCAAAGTCGTGACTGGTTCCGGCGAAATCGCCATGGATGATCTCAGCGACGGATGAGACAAGTCGATAGGCCGCATTACCTTGTTTGTGACTTCTTGTCTCGAGAGATGGGCTGACCCCGGGGAAAAATAGAAGCCTCCCCCTGGCAGGAGATGTTGTCGTCGTATGGATGCATAATCTGATAATCCTCGGTTTCCCGGGGTACTTTGACTAGAATCGGTTCGCGAGTAAACAGAGGGCCGAGAAGCGGCACGGTTGAAACGGCTCGTGGCAGCATCATGCCTGTTACTGAATCGCGCCAAACGGCCACGAGCACCTTTTTCTGCGACGAGGGAGTCTCGAAGTTTCAGAAGCAGACAGAAGGAAGTTTGTCGGGTGCCTTGGGCTCATGGGAAAGATCATCAACGCCCCGTCAGGAGTGTGTTGCGCTTTCCCCGAATGATTCTGGCCACACTGCGAGGACTGGTGGTTGATTTGTTGATCTGCCGCGCAGCCAAGCATCTCAGCTCACCCCGTCCGGATCCGTACAGTGCGCTCACGGTCCGCCGCCGGACGGCGACTCTCTTCGCGGACGGATCTCCGTCGGCTTCAGCTTGGGCTCACATCCACCGGCTATCAGCGCAGTCGGGCCGGAAGAGTAATTTCCACTTGGAACTCCTCTTGCGTATCAGCCAGCCTCCGAATTGCACTCTTTCCTGATATTCAAACTAAGGGGGGGTTCTCAGGATGGTGAAATCCTCAGATCCTTCACCGACCACACTAACTTTGACAAGACACACTGCCTGAGACATGCAGCACCTTACAGGAGCTCTTTGGGCATGCATCGTCGCTGACTCCGACGATTGGTCCGGGATTGCAGCGAGGCGGCGGCTTGGGAGGCTCATGCGGAAGCCGACTGGCAGCAGGCCGCATTTCAGCGCCTGTGTTGCTCTGCTGTATCCCCCCAATTACCGCCAGAACACCACTGTCTTGCCCGGCAGCAGCTTTAGAAAACCCGGGGCCAGATCTGGCCGTATTGGACCTCCTCCTGGCCTTATCGCCGCACCAATGCTCAAAGTTCCACTCCTCTTAGCCCAGGTTTACTCGGTGCCTGTTGGTCGTCGTGACAGATCGTCAAGAAATTCGAGAATCCAACGGCGCATCAGAGGCACATGGGAGCGGTACATATATCATCGCCACTGGCTGTGACTGATCTCCCCTCAGGAGTTGGCCCACGCGGTCACCTGGCCGGCGTGGCCGGCAAACGTGTAAGAAGAGTCTGAGGGTGGAAAAGACGGCCCCGTGGGTTGTCTTGGAGGCCTATCTGGTGGTCGCCAAAAGGGGGGTCCAAACAGTGCGAAAAGCAAGCCGGGACCCTTGAGAGGTCGGCGGAGCACGGGTTGTGGGAAATTGCCCATCTGCTTCGCTCTTGCCCAACTTTCCAGGATTTCGGCTGGTGACCCCGCCCAAGCATGGCGCCTATGCCGCTCCAGGAAAGTGGGCGCCGCCTCGTTTACCCTGCATTTTAGTCAAAGGTCCTGGTCGCTGCCACCAGTCTGGGCCCCAACCCATCTTTTAATTTGGTTGCTGCCCGGCGGTCCCCTCACCACCAAAAGACCCTTTAGTTTTTCTGTTTTCTGCCTCTCACGACAACGGACAGACGCTGCACTCAACGGCGCGTCGAGAGTGCAAGCGCAACCGAGGGTGGATTTCCTTGTTTTTCAACCTTTCCGCACCCGACCGAGATATCTAATATCACCTCCGACTCGGCCGACGTCCCTGCACTCGACTTCCGATCCTCCGTCTCTCTCGTCTTGTCCTCTACTCGCTCCCCACTCTGCTGGGCTCGCCCCGATTGTGCTCCATCGACACGTTTTTTGCGGCCGACTCCCACTGTGAAAATTTCCGACCATTCCTCCGACGATCAGTCCGAGAAACACAAACTTAACCTCACTCCCGTGGTCATATCTTTTTCAAGTTTTGCACGGTAAGTTTCTTGTCATATTTTTTTTCTTCCGTTGTGTGGCCGCCTTGAGGGTGCGCGATCGATCGACCATTCGCCTGCATCCACCCAACTACAATTGCAAGATTTGCGTGCCGCAAGGTTGGAGGCTGTCCGACAAGATGACACCGAGGATTCCGCGATCGATCCATCCGGTGACTTGCTGGTGGGCTTGGGCGGGCCTTGGCCCTCAGCTTGCGCCTTCTGGTGCACCGCGCGTGACCCCATTCGGTCCATTCCTGCGATTGCCCACTCGTTGCTGGGCCGGCCTCGGCAACACCCTACCGAGCTTATTGTGCCCTCACATACCGCCGCCCGAGTTTTGGAGTGACGACATACCCAAAAAGAGGAATACCGTGGATCTGCTCTGGCGACACCGCTGTGGTCCCGATCGTTGGCCTTGAAACCGGTCCTCCGTCTCGAAAAATATGGGGAGGGCAGCGCCGGCCATGCAGACGGCCGCACGGGCGACTCGGTCCGGCCTGCATTCCCGGCCTTCTCTACCATCGACGCCCTGCTTCTACCCGCCGACCCGTCGAATCTTTATAGTCCCGCGCCGCACAGTTGCCGTCCCGCAACCGACCCTTTTCGAGTTTAAGCCCATTTTTTGACTCTGGCCGAGCCCCGCCGCGCCCACCAGCCACCACCGCGTATTCTTTGGAATCTGACTCGCTCCCGCGGCGCTATCCACTGGCCGCGGGGAGTCTTCTTTTGGTCGCCTTCTCCGCCTTCTGTACCGGCCGGCCTGCTCTCTTTGCCTTGTCACCGACCACCGACCACCGCGCCTTGTGCGCCGTGACGAAATCTCCTAGCTGACGTATGACCCTGACCAGGCTCCTGTTGTCCGACTTTTGCCACAACACGCCTGTCGCCGCCTCACGGACACGGCAACATTCGATATTAATCTCACCGAGACGCGTCCTGCCGAAGATCCGTCCGAAGACCGCTTTTACTCCCCCAACCTATCCTCGGCCCGGAAACTGCAACCATCCGCTCATTTGAATATCATTCTCTCATGCATTCCTACCTGTAAGGAACTTCAACATGGACTCTGAAGACGGAGAGTTCTTCGTCAAGGTACGTTGGTCATAGTTGCGGTCAAGCACGTGGAATGATGAGACTAACGTGTCTCCTTTTTTTTGTACAGCAATTGGCCGGCTTCGTGCGGACACACGAAAAAGCCCTTGCCAACGCCCTCCAATTTCGGAGGCAAAACGCTCCTCGCCATGGGGCATCACATAGCGTGTCGTCGATCTCACCAGGGCCCGTCCCGCCCTCACCGTCGATTCCCGAGCGTCCATCAACCTCTGGTTCGACGTCGAGTACGCTAGCCGCCGCGCTCTCGCTCGGTAGCCTGAACTTTACATCACACAACGTTAAATCCGCCAAGCTGGCTCTCACACCTCACCACCTATTCTACCTTCTCTCTCGCTTCGAAGAATTGGGCATCCCCGTTGGGCCCATGAAAGTACGCCTCGAAAACCTACACGATAGCACGACCTCGGCGAACTATGTATCTTTCCTCGGCCAGTCTCAGCGGTCTAAGAGCCATGGCTCGGACGTCGGATCGATCCGCTCTGTGTCTAGTATCAGGAGCGTCATGTCGAGCATGTCCGCGTTATGGTCAGGCTTCAGTATTGGTTCTAGCATCTCGGCTGCCCGGACAGAGAAGCAAAAGGCTGCGGTCCAGGCCGACCTGAAATATCTCTACTCGGCCTTCACTAAGATCCCATGCCTGAGGCTGGCACCTGACTGGCGAGCCCGGCTTATCAAGGGCTACGAAGAGTTCCCGTTCGACTCCGCAGTGCCACTCTATGTGTTCAAGAATGTTCAGGCACTTGAGGTTAGCGACATCGACTTCCGGCAATTCTTCGGGTGGGACAGACTCGCCGATCAGCTCCGATCCTTGACCCTTAAGCGCGCGAGCATCGATGACCCGGCAGACGTTTTGATCGATATCGTGCTGGACGACATGGATAAGCGACGTCGTCGAACGTCTAAGACCCACTCTTCTCCAACAAGACCGTGGCCCGGGGCCTCGAGCCCTCGAAGAAGTCCAACAGGCTCTAACAGTGATCTGCCCAAGTCAGCCCCTATCCCGGGGTCTTCGCCACGGAAATCGACGGTCGACCTACAAGTCGGATCATTGAACAGCGAGGTTGGGGGTGACCAGGGTGGGTACGGTGGTTTGGATAGCCGACGGCCATCTGTAGCCAGAATCGACCCCGACGAGCCCGGGTCGCCCTCTAAGGACGGCGTTCGGCCCCGCAGTCACTCCCCACGGCGCCCTGGGAGCTCTCGAAACCCATCGGCCAATATCCGTGGATCGTACAAAGTTCGACGGTCGGGCTCAGGAAGCTCGCACTCCAGCCTCTCCGACTCGTTCCACAACTCGCGCGGGAGTTCATCCAACCTCTTGACCATGGGCATTCTCCCGGCTTCCAAATGGCGCTTCCTCAAGCATCTCAGCCTGGCGGACAACTCGCTCACCGCGATTCCCCCAGGAAGTCTCACCCCTCTGGCGAACACCCTCAACTCGCTTGATCTTTCCTCAAACCTGTTTACGCAAGTCCCTGACAGCGTAGCCAGCCTCACCGCTCTCCGCGCTCTCAACTTAGCTCATTGCATGATCGATTCTCTGCACTCCCTCACACGCAACCCGCTCCCAGCAATCAGCGCTTTGAATCTCCGGGCAAACCGTTTGCATTCTCTTGCCGGCATCGAGAAGCTCCTCCCGCTCGAGAGGCTTGATTTGCGAGACAACCGCTTGACCGACCCGATGGAGTTGGCTCGGCTGACAGGTATACCGGATATCCGTGAGGTTTGGGTAGAAGGCAACCCCTTCACCCGTACCCATCGTGATTACCGTATCACCATTTTCAACCTGTTCCGCCGGACCCCCGGGTACACTGAGGATATCACTATCGACGCCACCGGGCCAACGTATGCCGAGAAGCGGTATCTCGTCGAGCGAGCCGAGATCCCACCCGCCGTGCCCGTGGTCAAGCCTGAGACACCGGTTATGCCCGCCGTCGACGTTAGCAAGCCGGCTATCATCTACGGCGCTCCCACAAAAGAGCCTGCGGTTCTCCGGAAAGACCGGCCGGTACCCAAGCCTGCCTCGAGCGAAACCAACGCGACTTCCACGCGGCGTCGTGGGGGGGCTAAACGACGGATTGTCGATCTTTCTACGAACGAGAATCCTCAACCGTACGCGCGCCCTGTCGATCGCCATGCAGCTGCCATCACCACCAACGTGGATTCGGGAGCACACTACCGTACTTCACAGCTGCCTGAGATCCAGCATGAGAGGCACGAACCGCCACGGGCCGTGTTCGCCGAGACCGTCACACCGACCACCATCTCGACGATCCCGGAACCGACGCGCGAAGTTCCGAGAATCGATACCAACGTTGTTCCCCAATTACCAGCGATCTTGAAGTCGTCGGAGAACAACGTCGATTGGGGCGTTGGGGGTGAGATCTACCGGCAAAAGATTGAGGACCTTCGGAACAAAGTCGGAAACGGCTACCTTAGTGTCCTCAGCGAGGAGAGCTGGGATCCGGTGCCTCATCAGCAAGATTACCACCAAACACCAACCTTCAACCCTACCTCGCCATCTCTCCACTCGGACCCATCGATGCCCCGAGCGGCAGCAAACATGCAAGCCATTCCCAGCGGTGGCTCGTTTGCTTAAAACCAAAACGTAGCATTGCTCGTTTTTTTTTCTTATCCTATGATACCCCATTTTTCATACCCATTTGCATAGTCCCACTGGGACGAAGCATTTTTGACTGGACAGGCCGCACTCAATGAGTGGCGGATCTCGGCGTTTGGATCCCATTGTGTCTTCTGGGATGGAGAACATGAGATAGCGGACGGCGAGGCGGGGGAGTGTGTGGAGGAAACGGATTGTGTAGAGATGAATGAAGATGATACCCACCATACTTCTCTTCTCCCCCTGCGCAAGCCGTTTCTTGTAGGCAACATTTTTGTTGGAGTAAAAACATTTTCTGTTTTGTTATTTTCCTCTCTTATTTTACTTCTTCTCTTGTTGTTTAACATTTGCCTTTTTTTTCGTCTTGTCTTTTATTTCTGCCTTTCTTCCTGCATCTTGAGATATCACTGCAGCACGGCACAGCACAGCACAGCACGGTACAGCACTTTTTTGCACTTGCACATACTGGAGCATATTTTTTCTTTTACATGCATGCATTACATATTTTTGGCGTTTCGGCAGCAGAGGGGTGGATGGATGGATGGTGGGCAGGGAGGTGGATAGGTCCAAAACAAGACTGGATGGAAAGAAGGGAGAGAGGGAGGTGGGAAGGGTGGATGGGCGGTATGGGCAAATAAGAAGGAAGGCGTTTTGTTTTTTTGCTTTTCATTTTTTTTTTCACTTTGGTTCTGGTCGACCGGTGGGCGGCATGGGAGGATTTTGGGACAAGCCATGTGTGGTGTGGTCTCTTCTTATCTCATGTGGTACTGGCGTTGGGTATTTTGTTGCGCTTGCGCAAGGGAATGGGACAGGATTCCCCCTTTTTTTTCTCTCTGCTTCCCGGCTTGTTAATACCCAACCAATTCCCCATCGCCTCGCCATGTCCCATGCTTCTTCCTCTTCCACTTGTCTGTGTCGTCGGGTGAAGGGGGGGCAGGTAAAGACCAGAAGAGGAAGAGAAAGGGTGTTTTAGATGCTGTGTGGGCTCTGCTCTGTGTGTGGGTATTGGGGGCCAAAAAGGGGGTGAGGGGTCTTCTTGTAAAAAGATTGTTTTTATTTCGGTGGTGGAGAGAAAGACGGACAGACAGGCAGCCAGACTAAGAGGGGTGCAGGTACATGAGTGTTGGGAGAATTGATTTGATAAACATAAGCTGGTGTTTTTGATACATTGTGATTGATGTGTGCGCTTCTTTGCATGGTATGGACGTGTGTGTATGTATGCGTGTATGTATGTGTGTATGTACGCGTGAGGGACTCTTCTACTTCTCGTCAAGTGTCGCCTACTGCATTGATTAAGCCATCCTGGTTGATATAGAATGTACTTGATCCTTAAACAACAGACGCGGCAAATCGTTACCGTAGCGAACGCGGATAGGTTTTATTGCCGTGAGTGCCAAATATCCCCCCTGTAATAAAGTAGGGTTGGGTTGCTGTACACTCATTACGCTCTGAATCATCCGCCTTGGAAACAGTCAATCATTGTGTGAACGTGAATATTTGGTAGCATTATACTATAAATTGGTAGCTTATCTCTTTCTTGAATCCAACACCTACCATGTTCTCAATCAAAAAAACGTTTGCTAATTGTTTGTTTGTGGTATTCAGAGAAGTCACGGCTAAGGATGTCAAAATCAACGGGGAATCGTCACAGTCCCTCCTGCTACGACTATGTTCTGAAATAGAATAGGCCCAGTTTCTATACGTAGCAACTGAAAGTATAGCAAGGAGGGACCAGTTGCAATCGTGACCCGAATCATGACTGTGATTTTACTCTAAACCAATCCTACCTGAAACTGTCAGTGGTGGTTTCGTGAGAATGTGAGGTACTTGACCGCTCCGAGTCGGGCGGCGTGGGACTTGCCTCGTAGTAAAGGCAGTTGATGTTGAACTCCTGGAAGCAGTCTAGTGATTAACTCGGTCAGGAAATGAAGGGTCGGCGGTGCTGCGAGAAGGAGAAATTGAATTTATTATTGAGCTTGTGGTGGTTACAGGCGGACCGATAGGGGTTGACAGTCACTGGCAAAGAATGATTTTGTTGGCCGCAAATTTAAGAAATATCTCGTCGGGCTTCTTGGGGTACAGTAAGGCACTGGTCTAAGGATTGCTTTTGGGAATCTGGCAGTGGTACTCTACAGCAGTGGATGGTGACAGGGCAAATTGGTGCTGGTTGCGTCGGTCGGCAAACACTTGTCCGGGTCAAATCCGAGTAGGGCCGTTGCTCGCACTCGAAGGACTTGGGCAGGATTGCAATGGCAGGACCTCGACTCTGAACAGAAAGCGGACTTGGGGTTCACCGGAAATGAATGTTCAAATTCCAACTGGTAGTTTGGAAACAATCCTAGAGGCATTCTCCCAAGGGCGTATCTAAGCGAGCTATAAGGTAAACCAGTCCTAACCTGTCAAAGCGACGACAGAGGAAGGTCGGAATGGAATGCGCTCAGGATCTGATTGGCCTGTCGCAAAGCGCATTCCTAACTTATGGAATCGCAAAGGGAAAGTGGGAACATTTTTCGGGGTTGTGCGCCAAGGCTCGCCAGCACGGCAACCACGTCATTGTGGTCGCTCTCGGGGTCGTCCGCCTGTGAAGCGGCCATGGGACGAAACCCAGCCCTACCAGGGGCCTGTTACAATTGTTCACAAGGGACGAATACAAGGAGCACATTGTACACATTGTTTGGCTGGTGTTGAATTGGGGGGAGAGTGAATAGCTGTTTTTTTTCTTTATGTAGGTCCTAATGCACAAAGGCTAGCGCTCTCTTCAGAAATCATTCGGATCGCATGGGGAATCAGCTTTCTCATTGTTAGAGTTTCGGACCTGCAAGGCCCATCTGCAGATCCCTGAAAGAGGTTCGCGTGGCAGAGTGGTGTCGTGGGGCTTCCAAAAGAAGCTGCCCCACATTAGACGACTGTCGGCAAGCTTCACGGGGTTAACGGGCTTGCTGACTCGGCGGTGATGAAAAGGAACCGAATTGTTCAATGCGGGCTCATACTCCTTCCAAATTCTTTCCATGAATTCAAATTTCAAAAAAGGCTTCCAAACCAACAAAAAACATCGACCTGCAACCAACAACAACAATCTCGAAAAGCTCGGACGCAGCCAACAGCCGCATGTGATAGTAACCCTGGTAAGACGCACGGGCCATATTGATGCAAAGCTTCATTTACGTAAGCCATTTCGTGAGGAGACGCCACTCCACTTGGGGTGTTTGCACGCGCTGATTGGACAAGGTCGCATCACGCCTCGCGTTTTCCAGAACGTCACGTCGTCGCAAGCCGTCGAGAGCACCGGGCTTCCCGTATCACCCGTCATCACCACGGTGCTTTTCCGGGCTGTTGAGGATACCACCGGCTCTGGCATCAGACGGGACGACTGATAATACAATACATCACACTGACTAGGCGCGTTTCGCTGAAGGAAACGCCCCACTTCAAGGCGAACTATCCTCATCCTTTTCCCTTGCGACGACATCCCCCCTTTCCTTATCCGACCTGAGCTATATCTCCCTCCCACCGAGTACGACGTCTCACCATCTGGCCGGCACCTATCAAACTGTTTGACCCTCGAATCCTCGAACCCTCGAGACGAGAACACGTCAGACCAAAAACACCAGCCAGCTCTAGCCGGCCATGGCTCCGGCACCGTCCACCCCTCGGCGCACCGCGCGGGGCCGCCCCCGAGGCCGACCCAAGGGACCCAGCTCCGCGAGCGCGTCCCGTTCCAAACGAACAACCGGCGCTAGTGCCACCGGCGGCGCAGCAGCAGACGGTCCCTCAACAGAACCCCCACCCAAGCGACGCAGATACATCCCCGGCGGACCCGGCGGCGGCGGCCGGTTTGTCGACGAAGACGGCATCGAGATCCCCCCGGAGGCCTTAGGCACATCGACTACCGCGTCGCGCCCACGAGCATCAGCCGCGGCCAACCAAGCGACGAGGAAAACCACTCCAACAGTCTACCCGCGCCGAGAACGTAGCACGCGCATCCGGACGGCCGTGAACCGCGACGAGCGAGATGATATGCAATACAGTTCTGCCGCGGCGGTCGCGGCGGCGGTGGTGCAGAGCGAAGGGTACAAGCCGCGCGAGGAGCGTGGGTGGGAGGAGTTTCATCCGAATCTGGATATTGAGGCTACGTTTGTGGTGTGGCATGCCGATGAGGTGGATGGGATTGTGAGGGCTGTTGCTGTGCCGTCTGCTTCGGCTACGGCTTCGGGTGGGAATCATCTGCAGGAGCAGGCGGTGGTGGGCAGTGGTGCGTCGGTGAATGGGACGCCTGTTAGGGACACGGGCGCGCATCTTACGGCCGCAGGAGGAGGAGCCGACGCGAGCGGGACGCCGAATGGTGGTGGCGCGTCGGTGTCGGGTACTACGGCGGATACCCCGACGCGACGGCGACTGGGCAGGCCAGCGCGGGAGTCGTTTTCGCTGTATGCGACGCGGACGTTGGATTTTGGTGGGGGCGGTGGTAGTGCAGGAGGCCACAAAGTGCCCAAGGTGCTGCCAATCTCTGGGCAGACGTCCAAGGAGCGGCTGGACCTGAAGCAGCCGCAGTACCGCAAGACGAACCGGATCGCGCTGTTTGAGAGCAAGACGTTTGGGCAGGCGCGGTATGTCGACAAGTCGATGATGAATGTCGGGTACCAGGAGAGCGACAACTTCATTCGGCCGGATCGCAACCTGATTAAAGCCACCGATGCGAATATGGAGGAGGAGGCGGATCCGTATGCTGTTGCTGCGGCCGCTGCTGGTGGCGGCACATCGAAAGGCGATGGCGAAGCTGTGGCTGGGACAGCATCGGCACCGCACTACGGAACGGTGGGCCGCGTCGAGTACGACATGGACGAGCAAGACGACATGTGGCTCGAGAAACTCAACGCGCAGCGCAAGGCGACCGACCTCGACCCGATCACGCGCGAGGTGTTTGAGATCACCATCACCAAGATCGAGAAGGAGTGGCACGCGCTGGAGAAGCGGATCCCCAAGCCGAACCCGAAGCCGCCGCAGACGCACCGGCCGCGTTCTAGTTCGGCTGCGGCGGTCAATGGCGAGCCGCAGGCGGGCGAGGAGCAGGACAGCAAGTGCGCGATTTGTGATGATGGCGACTGTGAGAACACGAATGCGATTGTGTTTTGCGATGGGTGCGATTTGGCGGTTCATCAGGAGTGCTATGGTGTGCCGTTTATTCCGGAGGGGCAGTGGTTGTGTCGCAAGTGCCAGCTTATTGGGCGGGGTATTCCGGTGAGTTTTTCCTGTTTCTCTCTGTCTCTATTAGTCCCTCTCCCAACTCTTTTTTTGATGTCTTTTCCGGTATTTATGAGTTGCTAACCATTGCAGACCTGCATATTCTGCCCGAATACGGACGGTGCATTCAAGCAGACCAACTCGTCCAAATGGGCGCATCTACTATGCGCCATGTGGATTCCCGAGGTGTCCCTTGGCAACCACACGTTCATGGAGCCCGTAATGGAAGTCGAGAAGGTGCCCAAGACGCGATGGCGACTCGCGTGCTACATCTGCAACCAGCGAATGGGCGCATGCATCCAGTGCTCCAACAAGAACTGCTACCAGGCCTTCCACGTCACGTGCGCGCGCCGCTGCCGGCTCTTCCTTAAGATGAAGAACAGCCAGGGAGCGCTCGCCGTGCTGGACGGCACCTTGCCACTCAAGGCCTACTGCGACAAGCACTGCCCGCCTGACTACGCTGAGGAGCACGGTGTGGCCCAGGCCGCTCGGGAAGCTAAGCGCTTCTACAAGCGGACCATGAAGGGCCGGCTCTGGGCCGACAGCCAGGCGTCGGCACTGCAGCTCGCCGCAACGCACCGCAATGCGGTCACCGAACACCCGCCGGACGAATCGCAGATCACCGGCGCCAATGTCTCGGCTGTGCTGGGTGGTAGTGCCGGCAACGGCAGTGGTGGTGGTGATAATAAGAAGAAGAACCAGCCGCCAAAGAACGTGTGGAAGCTGCCGTCGGGCGCGCCCATCATCCCGCAGGCGGTGTTCGACCTGGTCGAGAGCGCGTTGTCTCGGTTTCCGATACGCAAGCGCAAGGACTTTGTGGGCGAGGCGTGCAAGTACTGGACGCTGAAGCGCGAGGCGCGTAGAGGTGCTGCGCTGCTCAAGCGGCTGCAGCTGCAGATGGAGACGTTCTCGTCCATGGAGCTGACGCGGCGCAACTTTGCGGCTATGGGCCCGTCCGGCCGGGCCCGGCTGGACCGGCGCGTCGAGTTCTGCCGTGGGCTGGTGGACGAGCTGGACCGGCTTCGGGAGCTATGCCAGTTGATTGAGGAGCGGGAGCGATTGAAGCTGGAGGCGGCTGAGCTGGAGGTCGGGATGGTTGATACATGCTACTTTCCGGTGTTTCAGCAGCTGCAGCCGATTCTGGACAAGGCTTTTATGTAAGTTTTATTCATTATCTACGTCTTGCGCGGTGGGGGAGCTACAACTAACACTACATTCACCAGCCTCGACAAGAACGTCTTCAAGCAGGGCTTCCAGGAACTTCAGGACAAGATGGACCAGCGCTACTACGTCACGACCCTGTCGTTTGCCCAGGACCTCTCCCGGACCATCAACAAGGGCATCCACAATCCCCCCGCCGCGGGCCCCGATTCTCAGTCCGTTGAAGCTTCACAGATTAAGCACGCCAACTATGCTGAGACAGCCGCCCGCAAGCGCCTAGGCAAGCGCATCTTGAAAGCCCTGCAAGTCCAATTGGAGACCTCCCTTAAAGCCGAGGCCGAGATCCTCCACCGACCATATGACGCCCTCCGTGAAGAGCTCGAGGGCATTCTCGAGGCCAGCTTTGATGCCCGCCAGCCGTCTACTCAGAGTATCACGGTGTCGGGCGTCGGATCCCCGGCTCACGAGGGTCAAGAACAGGACCGGGAGCAGGACGAAGACGCGGAGAATGGGGACGTTGACATGGTCGACGCCCCGGCCGAGGGCCAAATCATTGTCGCTGATCATAACCACGGCGATGAAGACGCCGAAGGCGAGCTCGACGATGCGATGGATGGCGCTAATATCGAGGTTGGCGGGTACAGCGAGCACGAGCACGATGAGGGGGATCACAAACCTAACGGCGTGCTCTCCGCTGCGCCCTCTGTCGCCGGCGACTCGCATAAACCGAACGGTTTCCTCAAAGCGTCCAACTCTCCGCCTTCCCTACCCGACGCCAGTTTCACCACAAGATCCAACAACAATAATAACAACCCCAACGCCCAACCTCTCACCCCCCCACGCTCCAACACCGGCTCCGCATCCGCCATCGCCTTCAACCCCCACCTCCCTCTATCCACCAACCCCTCCATCACCACAACCACCGCTACGGGTATCACCACCACCCTCACCGACGCCGGCACCTCTACCACCAACAACCGCCGTCGTCCCACCACAGCCAACAGCGCCACCAGCGGGACCAGCAAGACTGGCAGTAAAATCAGCAAGACGGGTAAGACCGGCCAGGGTAACTTCCTCACCCACGGCGGCGTGCCGTGGTATCTGGCCGGGTTTGCGCTGCGCGGGACAACGGCTGTGCAAGAGCAGTGGATTCCTGGGCGGGATGCTGTGCGGAGCCTTAGTGAGGAATTGACGGATATGGATGAGGAGGCGTTGAGGGATTTGGGGGTAGATGTTGATGGGGACGCTGGTGAGGAAGCTCAGTTGGGAGACGAGCAAGAAGTCGATGGAGCTGGGGAGGATGATGGTGATGATGATGGTGATGATGAGGGTGCAGAGGAAGAAAAAACCATCACCATCGCCAGCCGCGCGAGCAATAACACCAACGCCACCAAACCCGATCGCCTAGCGGACGGGGTCGGGGAGGATGAAGATGAGGATGCAGACGGCGAACTGGACGGCGCAGATGCCGACGCCGACGCCGACACCAATGTCGACGGAGCCGACGACGACGAGAAAGAAAACGCCGACATCCTCGGCACCAGCACCACCCCTACTAAATCTACACCCCCCCGGGCCTCAACCGCTATCAAGAAACTCGTCGTCCACGGCGGCAACAACAACAACACCCGTACCAATTCACCATCATCCACCGGCCTAGGCCTAAATACCACTCTCAACGGCACCGGCACTGGCACTGGTCCTAGCACAGTCGCAAGCAGCAACAGCAGCAGTACGAGCAGTCGCAGCCCGAGAAAGAGGACCCGCAGCCAGGTGGCTGCTGCTGCGGCGGCGGGGACGAGGTCGTTACGGAAGGGGGTGAGGAGTTCTGCTAGGAGGAAGTAAAGCGAGCGGGGGTGAGCGTGGGTTTGGGCGAGGGATAAGTGGGGTGTATGAGTATGGCTTTTTTTCTCTTTTTCTCTTTTTGTTTTTGCTTGAGTTGTTTCTTGTTTTTGTTCTAGTATCTATGGCGTGGATGGGGGTGAGGTAATGGGGGGTTGTTTCACACGCTCCTTTTTCTGCGTTGCTGGTTTCGTTTTTTTTCTTCTTCTTCTACTTCTGGTCTTTGACATCACCCTTTTTATATCCCCACGTTGCGTTTACAAGTTTCTATTGTTGGTGGTGGAACGGCTCCTGTTGTTGATCACCGATTCCCCTTTTCTCCTTTTATCTTCCTTTAACCCCTTTTTTCTTCTCTTCACCGCCGGATTTTTTATTCCCCCTTCATTTCTTCTGCTTCTTCGCACAAGACACGCAGATCCAGCAATATGGATGGACGAGAAGAGAACGAGAGAGAGAGAGAGAGTTTGAGCTTGTATGGGTCGCTTAATTGCTACGTACTGTATCGAAGGAAGGTCTTGATTTGTTTGTTTCAGAGGGCAGTGGGATGGGGTATTTATCATTATTATTATTATTTTGTGAAGTGTCTTGTCAGTTGTCGTGTAACGGAGTTGCCAGGCCGGGGAATAAGTTTACGTCTGTCTCATGGGGATCTCTCTTCTTGAATCCGTTCACGATGGATTGATCGGGAGATGTTGGACCGGAGGAGGAAGGTCACTTGCTTTCTGTTTTTGCGATGGGTTTAGGTATGGGGGGCGGGGCAACGCGATGTGAGAGATACCTCTGTAGGAATACACACACATAACATCCATCTATCCATCCCTTCGGTGACTTGTGTTATTTGATGGACAGTTGTTGCCCTGCTCAGCTGTGAACAAATTTTCTTCCCCTAAAAATGAGTCATCCCGACACACCTAGAAAATACCGTTTGTCCCCGCGGCTGCCGACATCGCAGCAGCGTCTCCAATGCTCGTTCCCGTGGGCTCGCCCGTTTGCGCGCGCCCTGTATCACATTCGTGCCTCCCTTGATTACGTGTCCCGTTTGGTTCGCTGGGTTTGAGTGGCGTGAGGCTCACGAGACGGGAAAAGAAAAAAAATAACACGAGGATGGATGGAAAGGGATGTTTCGGGGGACGCGGAGGCCGAGAGTAGCCGTGAAAAGTATACGTGTGTAATGTATAATTAGTAAGATGCTTCGGTGTAAGCTGGTTTGAGGTAGGGCTGAGTATGCTTGATGTCCTTTTCCAATGTGCTCCTCCCGAATATTTGCATACCGGAGGACTTGTCAATGTAATGATGCGGACACGCTTCTCGTTCAATATATTCTAATCAATAGCCATAATGACATAACAAAGACCACGACCCCAGTGGCTCGGTCTACGCCGCAGCCCGGCGGGACGGATCGACAAACAAACGGCGGGGAAAAAGAGGGAGGCTCGCAAGGCTTGGAGTATGTCAAGGACTTAGAGACACAGTACGGGGAACACGCAGTACAAGAGACCTGAGACCGGCCGCTTCAGGCGCTGATTGGTGGGATCCCCTGCAACCATTGGACCGCGGCACATCGAGGGGGCTGATTCGACGAGGAAACTGGCCAGGTGACTTTTTCTGTTGGGCGTTGTCTGCCTGCCGTGTGATTGACTCTTGGTGCTGCTCGTTGGGCTGTGCCGGTGCTGTGTTTCTTGTGTTTCTGTTCAGGGGAAGGGATTGGGGAAAATTAATAAAATAGGGGAAAAGTCGGCTTTGCTTGGTTGGCATTGACCGGATATCCAATTGGATTGGCGACGGTTGAGAACGGTTAGCTTCCTGCTTGGTCGCTAAGTGCACGATGACAGCATCAGAGTTGAGAGGAGGGAGGGGCACAATTCTGCCCCGCTTGGCAAGGCAGCCACTCGCTGGGGATCGCGGGGCAGAGTGAGACATACTTTGCCCGGTAGGTAGGTACGGTGGGAAACAGGCGAGACGGGGAGAGGGAGAAGTGGGAAGGGGCGAGAAGCATCGATCTTTTTTAGAACAAAAGGTGTAATGCAACTCCACGACTCCGAGACGAGAGCGCCAACCGACAACTGGCCCAATCGCACTGAAACCCCAACACACCTAGGTACGTTGAGTGGTTTGAGTGGGTAGTGTGCATCTGCGACAATCTCGATCAGTCGCCCAGTGAAACCTCGGTCAACGTTGTGGGCGGGATGGGAGGTACGAAATTGGAGGTATTTCGCGGGCCCGAATCTTGAGACCATGATGGAGGACTAGAAAGTCTCGAGAGCTTAACGGTTAAAACTTGGGGGGCCTTTCTCTTGGAGGCCGTCGGGGATCTTGTGCGTGCGTGAGGATGACGATGGAGCCGTTGGCCGAATCACGCGCCGTTTGTAGACGAAGGTGGGCGGCACACTCCAACCAGATTGCCACGGCTGAGCCCCTGGAGGGCTGCCCGGGTACGGCGCCAAATGGTTGTTTGGTGGGTATGAGACGGGAGGAAAGATGGTGGGGGCGGTGATCTGTAAGTACGGAGTAATAGAAGCACTTCAATATCAACCCTAACCCAATTAATCTTTCAATCTTGTCTATATCAGAGTTGATCAGTGATAACACTCTCTTCCGGCTGTTCTGTGCCCCGAGCTTGCAAGAGGATAACCATCACGGTTGTATCATCCCTCAGCTCTCTCGAACCCAGTGTCGTGTAGGTCGAAGCGATCGAGTTCCCGTGCCTTGTCAGTAACTATCAGGTCGGATGCTGGCTTCAGAGCTGAGTCTCGAGGTATTGGTCGCCTGATACTCCCTGTCAAGCCTCGGTGGGAGTAAGGCTAAGCGGATTGCGTGTGTTCATCTTTCACCCCAACACTGCGCTGTCTGGTCTGACAGGTCCTGCCATGATGGAGCGCCCGAATCCATGTGCGATAGGGCTGCCGCGGTATTAGTCTTGACAGAGCTTTATGAGCCGCTTATACAACAAACTCTAGCTGCGTAGACTGTAGAGTTGAAATATCAAATGTAGCTTAGTGCGGAGTACATCTTTCAGCCACCCACCTAGCCCCTAAACAGCGCTGCTGGGCTTCGAGATTGAGGCCATGGGGTATTTTATTTTTACATGCTTCCTGTCCTTATTAGGTGTTTATATGTACTACATCGGGTACGAGGTCCAGGTTTAGACGTGTGACCTCGGCACTGCTAAGTTAGCAAGTAGTCAACTTGGACTAGAGGAATGTACTACGAGTATCAGCATCGCGGTTTTCAACTTCCTGATAACAACAACAGCTTATGGTCTCCATAACTGTCCAATAAACACGGGGTTTCTCATCCTCATCACCACAAGTTCTAAACCGTTTTGAGCAGACAATGAACGGCAGTAACGTTATCACCAAAGGCATCGTGCCTGCAACTCACCAGGACATACCTGTCGAGTAGCAATTCCCGGTGGCGGACAAAGGATGACGGGACGTTTCGCAACGCGACAACAGCTGCATGACGACGCCGGTAAAGTGGGCCCAAAAGAGGCCCCATCTGGCCGGCTGTGCTGGGCCCAAAACTCGTTGGGGGCCATTTGTTCCTCGGATGTGGAAGGGGGGAAAAGAAGGGACTGACGCCCGGTCCCTGGCCGAGGCTGACGGGAATCCTTGGAGGTATGGAAGCCGGACGAGAGACCACCCGTTTCTTGTTCCTGGGCCGTGGTCAGAGCGCCACCTTCACTCGCGAGCGGCACGACTGATGTTGGGCAGCAGTGGTTGGCGATCGCAATCGTGCCGAGGTGGATGAAAGTGTGTCGTCCATGTCTCGTGCCCAACGTTGGAGCAACAATCCAGCGAGAAGCCAATGTTGATAGGCAAGCTTCCCAAAAGGTTCGTTTGGATATGCGGGCGGCTTTGGGACGGACGTTTGGCTGGAAAGACGTGCAACGCTCTGGAAGGCAACTGCCCATCGAAAAGAAGCTGCCAAGAAAAGGGAGGATGCGAGGGGTTGAGCCCCACTCTGACAGGCCAATCCACGCACTCAGGCAGGGCTGGGAGGGGAGCACTAACAAACTGCCGGCTGAATTATACGGCCCTGAGATAGCGACGACGCGTTCCAGACCCCGGGCCCCGCGTGGGTTTGCATTCAATTTTTCGCGGCCAGGAGAGAGAGCGGCCAGTGCCAATGGCGCTCGCCGAACACTGGCTGTGGACGTTCCAAGCAGCGCCCCTGCCCACATTAACCTGACCTCCCGGGAGTGCCGTGGTCCTCCTCCAAACCTGATCTTGTCAAGCGAGACAGTGATTTTTCCCGGCTCTCTATCGTGACTTGAGCGACTTCGTCTATCGGCGAGAAACCCAAAGAACACTTTACAAAGGCGATCAAAGTCCTATCTTAGGCACCCTCGACTTTTCTCCCATTTGCTGAGCTTGAAACCGACTTCTGCGGGATCCTGCCAACCGACGGCGCGATTTGCATCGACCTGTTTCTCCCACCTCGCCTTCCCCCGACCGTGGCAGCCTTTGCCAAAACAATACAGAACACAACCGCCCACGACCCCATCGACGACTCGGCTTGCTGCCATCTCCGCGACGCACGTCTTTTCAGACGAACACCACGATAGCGGCATTGCTGACATTCAGCACCCTGTGATTCCGGTGAAATTTGCCCGATTCTTCACGACTCAGCGTTATCGCCAGGCCTGCCCGCACGCACCTCGCTGCTCTTTGCTCACAGCAAATTCCGGTGACGAAAAACACGACATCTTCTCACCACCACATAGAAAAGTACAAAAAAAGCTTGTCGCGCTCCCGTAGCACGCGCAGAAAGACGATATAGGGGCATTTCCCCCTTCCCACTCTCCCAATACAGCCCACTCGTTGCTGCGATTGCTTGTGAGCACCCGACCAGGTAAGCTTTCTCCCCACTGAGTCTTTTGCGACCGTGGTCGTCGCGGCGACGACAGCACCAGATCCCCGCGCGAAAGTATCCTTGCGCCTTCCCGCACTCTTCCCTTCTCATTCCACACTCATTGCCTCTCATGTCGGAATTTTTCGCTGACTTTTTACCCCTCCTTCTTGCGCAGTGCCTGGAGTGCATCATCCATAAACTTCGCGCTTCGTCCTTTTTTTCCTCTCCCCTCCCTCCTAGGTTCTGTTTCGGTCGGCTTTTGGGACCCCGCTGGTCACCACCGACAATATCTCTTCTACATTCCGTGTGGCATTCATTTTTTTCTTTTCGGAGGATTGAAGGCACCTGGCAATGGCAGACCAACACGACGTCGATCTCGACTCGATAATCGATCGCCTCTTGGAGGTGCGGGGCAGCCGCCCAGGCAAGCAGGTCCAGCTACTGGAGGCCGAGATTCGTTTCCTTTGCACCAAGGCTCGCGAGATCTTCATCTCCCAGCCCATTCTCCTTGAGCTCGAGGCTCCTATTAAGGTAAGATACGATGCAACAATTCCCCAAAACTCGCGACCGTGTCTTCCTCGCGTACCCCTCCCTCGCGTGACCTCCTCCCATCTCGGCTGTCCTTAAACTAATTGGATCCCGCTCGCTAGATCTGCGGCGATATCCACGGCCAATATTATGACCTGCTCCGTCTCTTCGAGTACGGCGGCTTCCCGCCCGAGGCCAACTACCTCTTCCTCGGCGACTACGTAGATCGTGGCAAGCAATCGCTCGAGACTATCTGTCTCCTGCTGGCTTACAAGATCAAGTACCCCGAGAACTTCTTCATTCTTCGCGGTAACCACGAGTGCGCGTCCATCAACCGCATCTACGGCTTCTACGACGAGTGCAAGCGCCGCTACAACATCAAGTTGTGGAAGACTTTTACCGACTGCTTCAACTGCCTGCCCATTGCCGCCATCATTGACGAGAAGATCTTCACGATGCACGGCGGCTTGAGCCCCGACCTCAATTCCATGGAGCAGATCCGCCGTGTCATGCGCCCGACTGACGTACGTTTTCGCCCCCCCCCGCTGCCCTCTTCTTTTCTGTTTTGTATTCCCAGTCGGCTAACCCCTTGCCTTCAGATCCCCGACTGCGGCTTGCTTTGCGATCTCCTCTGGTCCGACCCCGACAAGGACATCACTGGCTGGTCTGAGAACGACCGCGGTGTTTCCTTTACATTCGGGCCTGATGTCGTCTCCCGCTTCTTGCAAAAACACGACATGGATCTCATCTGCCGTGCTCACCAGGTCGTCGAGGATGGCTACGAGTTCTTCTCCAAGCGCCAGCTCGTCACGCTGTTTAGTGCCCCCAACTACTGCGGCGAGTTCGACAATGCCGGTGCCATGATGAGTGTGGACGAGAGCCTGCTCTGCTCCTTCCAGGTTCGTAGTCTTTCCCCACTTCCCACCACCCTGCAAAGTTCCTCGTATGTAAGAGTTCATCGCTGACGGTTGGCTCTCCAGATTCTCAAACCCGCAGAGAAGAAACAAAAGTATGTCCCCAGCTTTGGTGGTAGCCTTGGCGGCCGGTCCAACACTCCCCGGAAGCAATCCAAGTAATCAATAAGGGTTTATGCGAACTTTGTTCTCCTTGTTTTAGGTTCGGGCGCAACCGATAAGCTTGCCAATCCACGCGACTCAGCCATTGCGAACGGATCCCCACCGCCTTCATCTCCTCGATTCCTATACCGCCTTCACACGTCGTCTTTTTGTGCTCGCCTGGGGCTACCGCCTCGTCGGTCTTTGTTTGTTGCCTTTCCGCTTTCCTTTCGGCCACCTCCCCTTCGTCCCGCGCCGAACCACTCCCGCCCACCGCATTGGGTGTCCTCGCCACCGGCACCATCGTCGTTGTCGCCGCCGTCGAGCAAGTCATGTCTGTTTGGTCCTGTCACGAACGGAAAAAGCTGCTGGAGGGATACAGGGGGAGGGAAATCAATCTTGTCTCTCTGTTCTTGTCTTTTTTTTTTCTTGGAAGGGAAACGAATAACGACTCTCCTCGTCTCTCTGTCTGTCACTCCTAACGAAACGGGGCATTTAACAAACCGGGAATGTATAGATACGCGGTGGTGAGGAAGAGCTTGCGTTACTTCACAACAAGAGAGCTGGGTGGTTTTAGAGTTTGTTGTTTTCGGTAGGCGCGCGGGGCGGACTGTTGAAAGAAGAGAGTGGGTTAGGTAGAACTGGGGAACTTGTTGGGCCCATGTTCCCTTGTTCTTTTTGCCTTCTCTCTCTTTTCTTGTCACTGACTCCTCGTCGGCGCGGCCGTTTAACTGCCTCTTGCTACCAGAATCTATCTTAAACTCTGTACTCAACACCGTTGTTCCCGTCTTGTGCGTTTCCCTCCTTGGACTTGTTTTGCTCCCCTCTAACCTTCGAGTCAGCCCGGCGCTTTGTCGTGCTGCGGGACGAAGCGACTGACAGGGCCGAGAAACCATCTTTTTCGTGAATTACGCTGGCAGCATACAGCTGCCTAGATACTGATGTATGTATGTAGGTAGGTAGGCTAGGTGGTGAGAATGCTAGGGGCCGGTGGGTGATGAAGTGTGGTGTGGTGCAAAGCAGAGAGGGGATGGTTGAGGGGTGGGTGGCACCGTACATTTTCATGAATCAATGCGTCAATCCATCAGTCAATTGACTAGTTGGTCGGTCAGTCAGTCAGTCTGTCTGTCTGTCTATCGGTCGGTCGTCGTAGATTTGTTTGTTTGAGCCGTTGGCTTGATTTGGGCCTTGATATAGGTTGATTTTGCCTTGGCTTTGGGAGATGGTGGATTACTCGCGTTGTTGACCTGGCGAGGTTGGGTCGAGGTTGAGTTAGGTTGAGTCGAGTTTGACTTGCCTTCGGTTGACCTAGCTCACCTTGCCTTGAGTTGACTTGATTCGACTTGACTTGCCTTGACCTGAGCTGGACTAACCCTCGCTGCCATTTGATGCTGGTGCTTTGTGGGTGCTAACATGGCATACTTACCACTTAACTGTGTTGCCGGGAGGTTGTATGGGGATTGATGTTCTATCCTGCAGTCTGGACGAGATGCATTCATTATGCCTACAAACAAACACGTTGGTCGTCATTAATCCTTATCACCCCTTCCTCTTCGCTTTACTCCCTGACTCGAGTTGTTTCACGCGACTCTTCTTCCTCTTTGCTCGATAGTTCAGTTCGGGTTCTGCTGTATGTGTGGGGATAGACCTTGACAGCAACATTGTGTTGGGTCTTGGATGTTTTAGTCTCTGCGGCCGGTTATTCAATCTCACAAGAACGTTGGTCTGTTTCCTCTCCTCAGGTGCTGCCGCTTCCTTTGAGGCATGGCTAGAGTTCATATGGGCAAGCAAGACAGGGCAGGGCGGCCGGCCGGCCAACTTTGTCATTGAGGCTAGCTGTTCCTAGGCTTTATCCAAGCGACGACGAAACAAGATAAGGTCGTGGCTCATAGTATTTAATTGTGATATCCATCAACGATCCTAATGGTCTTGCTTAGGTAGCCAGAGATAGATGGGTATGTACCTAAATACTCGCGTACCTTCCCTCCCTCTCAAATTCCCCACTGGCCCTTTATAACCCCCCCTTCCGCCACTGTTTCCCAACAGCCCCCCCATCCGGCAAATGCCCGCCCGGACCGCGGATGATGTATTTGGGGGGGCGCGGGCATGTCACTCATGCCTGCGATACCGCGTGCCCGGAGTTCGACTCCCGGTACGGTCACCGAAGCAAAACCCTGCCGTGGGTTTTGGTAGCTGTCCACTTCCTCGCCGGAGGAAGTGGGCAGTGAGCTTTTTGGATTTCTTTTTTTTTTCTTAAAAGAATTCTGAACCTCACAAGATAATACATTGGGCAATATTGTAGTTGATATTGCTCACCACTCGAAGCGTTCCCGTTTTAAGTGACCAGGTTAATGTCTAGTGTTTCTATAAATATATGATCCTCATTGAGATATGTGTAGATAAATAACCATCTGTACCGAACCTCCTGTTTGTTGGCTGTTATATAACCCTGGTATAGCTTGCCCTTCTTGTATTATCTCTGTCACCCCATTTCCTCTTAACCTTCTCTTGAAACGATACACCTGAGCAGACCTTACCTCTTCTGTCTTCACTCAACTTTTTAGCACACAATATTCCGTTTGCATCGGCCACTTGAGCTCTCTGTGGAACCTAGGCTTTCTGACTATTATTGAAAGAGAGGCTGTAGATATATATCCCGTTCTCCGGTTCGCAACTTGCATGCCGTTGCTGTTTCCGCGATGGGTTTGATATATGGAAGGGTTAGGCCCATGCTACGAACTCTATCCCACTTGAAGTAAAATACAACGTCAGCATTATGGCTGCCGTATATCTGCAAGACGTTCAAGGTCCGTAACAGTCCCATTACAGCCAGCATCCTTATTCCTATCTCTCCTCGGAACTACTAATTCTCTAGACTTACCATTTTGGTTCGTCAGAATCTTGTCAACTATCACCCATAACTCACTCACAATCCTCACACTTCTCAACACCACAGCCCTTCCCTTTCTCCCTCTCCACCTGAGTACTCCCACTCCCACCCTCCTGCTTTTTTCCCTCTTTCCCCTCGCCCTCTACCCCCTTAACCTCACCCTTCGTCGTAACCCCCTCCTCAACACTCGACTTCCCTCTCACATGTCCCTTCGCATAATCCCGATCCACATGCCCCAAATCCCTCCCCGGCTGAATTACATCACGCACGCGCCGTTTCAACTCTTTCGTCTCAGGGAACCCGCCGTCTATTTTACGATCCCAGAGGATTTTTTTTTGGAGGTGGGGGGTGGTCGGGGTTTCTTGTTTAGCAGCTGGTGGTGACGTTGAAGTTGGGGCTGGGGGGGAGGTTGGGGGGGAGGTTGTTGTTGTTGCTGGGGCTGCGGCTGTGGCTGTGGGATTTGTTTGAGAGGAGGAGGAGGAAGAGGTGGTGATTTCCACGAGAAAGATACCGCCTGTGGCGGGCTGCAGGGAGACTTCTCCGAGGGAGAGGGAGAAAGTGGAGAGGAGCTCTTGGGCGTACTGGTGTTGTTGTTTGTTTTGTTAGTTAAGCACCTATCACGCATAAAGAGGGGGTTTGAGTTGGGTTGGCTGGATATGCTAGGTCTTTGTTGTTGTTGTTTCTTCTTTCTTCAGGAGGTAGGGTGGGGTGAAGTCTGTTTGAAAGGTGACGGGATGATCCCATGGGCTGGCCGAGAGCTCTCGGGTGCGGGGAGGACGTGGGGTTGGTTGGTGGTGTTTTTGTTTCTTTGTTGAATAAGAAACAGCAGTTGAGGGCCAAGGGGGGTGAGGATGAGAGTAACATGGGCTGTTTGGGTTGAGAGACGGATGAGCAAACGGAAAAGACGCACATAAGCTGCCCGGAGCATCCATTTGCACTGGGTGCAGAACTGAATTGTGACTCGCGGGAGTCGCGGATCCAACGAGGCTTCTATAACTGGCTCTGCCATGGTGAGGTATTTGGCTACTGCAACGGTAAACGCTGTGTGGTTTTGGGCTGACTCGGTTGGGCCCCAGCAGCCTGTTTCAAGTTGCAATAGTCGAAGTGGTTGATGGTGTTGTATGACGTTAAAGTCAGCTGTTTCTATGAGAGCTAAACTGGCACTGAGAGCGGGTCAAATTAATAGAAACTGGGCTGCGTCATTTGGGGCGCTGGGGCCCAGAACAAGACTCAAACTCTCCACACAGCCGGAGGACAGTCCGATGCCCACGTCCGGTGCTCACGCCCGGTGCTCACGTCCGGGTTGGTCCGGTTTGTTTCGCTTTTCCTTGACCATTTGCTCAAAATACCACATACAGATACTACACATCATCGGAGCACATGGAATCTGTTGGAAGAGTTCTGTGTCATTCACCAATCACTCATCTCGTCAACCCATTGAAAACCTTGAACCTATATACAGCTGAAAAGAGTGGTAAAAAAACAAAAAACAAAAAACAACAGTAGCGGCAAGGGCAAGGAGATCCCAGGCCAAAATCAGTACGATGAGGGGGCAAGGACAAGACAGATAAGGAAAGTAAAAAGTGAAGACGTCGGGTCAAGATATTACAAGCTGAAGAGCTGCGTAGCCGGCCCACGATCCGCCCGGAATGAAAATGGGGTATGAGTGGTAGCGTTATCGTAGGCAGCCGTGCCGTCGTCCCGTCCGTTCCTGGCCTCTCTTCCTCCTTGCCCCGGCAAATTCAGAGGTTTTTTGTGAGGGTTTGTTCGTCCCCAGCAAAGGGGCCGGTTCGCGATTCGATGATGGTCCCGTGTGTCCCGCTTTCCGGTGGTAAATTCATTTTGTGCTGCCCATGTCCGTGATCCCAGTGCCAATATTACTCTCGAAATGACGATGACGAAGCCGGCCGGGTTCCCAGGCTGCCGCCGTGTACCGTGCAAGACGTTCAGTCTAACGCGATGACCAGCAGCTAGTTAGGTGGGTATTGGGGAACTCGACTGGCCGCATCTCATTATCGAAATTGGAAGGGCTGTAGCCCCCCTACATGATGATACAGCACCCGCCGCTTTGTTGTGGCGCATAAGGGTCTTCTCCTTTGGGCACTGGCCCCCACACACTTGGTACCATGTAATCCCTAGTGCTGTTGCAGTACGCGATGATGCTATCGAGAACAAGTTAGCGGCGATGCCAAAAAGTGAGGATTGGACGCGTCTGATGGTCCATCGCGGCCTGCTTGCTTACCTCTTGGATGCTTGGCTCACAGGAATCCTTTCCCGTTCGAGGTCTTCACGTAGCCGCGAGTTAAGCTCCGTCAACCGGCGGAGCTTCAGATCCGCCATGCTCTGCTTGGTTCTCCGCACCTGCGACGGGTCGCCCACGTCGCGCGACGTGTACTGAGGCATCCTGGAAGACGAAATTGTGACGGTTGAGCGGGGGGTATTCGGGAAAACGTGGTTGCCGACGGCTCGCGTCGTGATGAATGAAATTTTTTTCTCGGCTTTCGGCGGCGGCGGCGGCGCGCGCGGCGAGAGTCCGTCGTCAGAAACCCAGCGAGAGGTATTCGATGGGTGTTGCTGCAATCGGCTGGCGCCGCTGCTATCGCCCGTTTGCGAGTCGGTGGTGGATCGCGACCAGGGGCCCGTCAGCTCGAAAGAGGAGGTCTGTGGTAGAGCCATCAGCGTGTTAGTCAATTGTCGTTCTCCCTTTTTTTGTTATTTGGCTCTCTTTGGGGGTTCAGTTCGTGATCCTCCACTTCCACGCCTGCGAAGGTGCCGAGATCATCTCCTTCCTTTCCACCACAAAGTCCCGCTCTCCCATCCCTTTGCTCGCGTCCGTAGCCGATTGGCTTAGCGTGATTTCTCCTCGTTGTCGGTAGCAAGGCACGCAGGTTGCACCGTTTGCTCCACGGCGCAGCCACGGCAATGGCACACACTCACAGCCTAGGCACAGCAATCGCCATCAATTTGATGGGTGCACTTACCGAAGAAAAAATAAATTAAAAGAAGGTGGATTGAATGTCTACCGTGGGGTGATGTCCGGCGACGGGACTGACAAAAATTTCGTAGGCGCGGCGATTGAAGCGAAATGGGGGCGATTGCGAGAATGAATGCCAAAGGCTTCAAGTCTTGAGAGAATGGACGGAGCGGACGGGATTGGCAGAGAGGCGTCGGGAAGCGAAGGGGGGAGCAGGTTCAGGAGCGGGCGTTGCTGGTCTGTGCACGCTGACCCACCCGGCGCGGGTGAAAAGAAAATGAGCTGTCCGGAGACGGTTAGCCAGGCCAAGCCTGCGAGCATCAACTCAATCGGTTACACTGCGCTGGGTCTTTGTTTCAACCCCGATTTGGCATTGACTCGCGTCGAGGCTAGACGCTTTTTCCACAACACCGTCTTCGCTACGTTCTACGACGGAAGCTAGTGGGTTTCAGACCTCAGATTGCAACTGAGGGGAGAAATGCTGCCGGCGATGCCATCACTGCCCGTTGAGAATGCATTTTGGTCAATCGCCAGGACTTACACGGTACCGACGGAAGATCGTCCGCCCGCCTGGCCAGTGCATTGATGGAAGCTGGGATTCATGATCCCTCGTGCAGGGGTTTCCGTGGGTGTTTCCAGGAGGGCACGGTGGCCCGACGCGCCGGAGCAATTGCAAAACTCGCCCACCGGCATGCCGGTGGCCGCTTCAAAAGGGACCAAAAGCGAAAATCTCTCACGATTGTAGAAATGGTGCTTTCCAAGTTTCCGATGATGGGAGCTGCACAATGTGCCGCGATGCGATTGTTTCTCGCCTGTTCTCAGGTTGGTACTTTCTGGAAGGAATATGCACGCAAGAGCGGAGAATCTCTCCGCCCTTTGGTCATGCAGAAGTGAGGACACAACGGGCGGCCCTGGTCAGAATGACTGTCAGACGGGGTTGTGGAAAGGCTGTTCTCGAAGGGAGAAGGGGGAGCCCCGCGCTGCAAGACATGCCCCACCTCTCCAGTTCCAGAGCAATTCCTTTCGAATCTGAAGGTCGTCATCATCACCTCACCACCGGGTAGCTTTAACATTAACCAGGCCAAACTACCCGTTGACTAGATAAACTAGATAAAGGAGCCTGTAATTGATTGCGAGTGTCTTTCCGGCCTCTCAGTACTTAGCTCCCAACATTGAAGTATTTTGCTGGTAAAGCCTCGTGACGGTTTATGAGGGTCCAGAACAGTAGCCGCAAGGGCAAAAACCCATACATCCTTTGAGGAGGATTGGAGCTAGCATCACCACTTTAGCAAGTTTTGGACGTCTTGCAGGTGGTCAACGATTCAAGAGGAGCAAGCAGCTTCGACTGGGTCAACCGCTGATCAACCCGAAATGGTGGGGTTGTCTAAGGGGCGTCGAATGTTACGGTCAACGTTTGTAGTCATATGCTAACTTACTGGATTTTAAGTATTGATGCAGCATATTCGGCGTTATACTTGTGGATCGAGGTGCCCCTTCCCCTACCTATTTTCCCGCAGCCTCGCCACTTACCGGTTCTTCTCCTATCCCTCGTAGTCCAGCGCGCGAGACGTGCGCCCCTCCCGACAACGCTGCAAACGGTTAAAGATCATGAATGGGGAGGCGGCACTGTGGATTGCAGTCTGCAACAGGAATGCCTCTCGTCTCGGTGACATGGTCACCTTAGACAGAGGGTGCCGGCCATAGAGCATTGGGCAGCGTGGGCAGCTCTACAGCGCTGGACCAAAATCCCCGGAAGTCCTCCTCGACCCAAATGGCAAGCCGCCGAATGGCTGCACAGACCTGATAACACCCGTACACGGTGTGCGTATCGCCGATACATATCCCCTCATATATCATGGTCTTCCGTTCCAAGCGACGCGCAAAGTCCACTCGCCATATATTGCCGTACACGTAGATGATGGGGAGGACGGGTAGTCGGTAATACGGGTCGTGGCCACGACGCTCAAAGACCTTGGCAAGCTGTCGAAAGTGGGCGCGCACCCAGTTGGCGAGTTGCACGGAGCCCTCGTCCGGCCTGGCCTGAAGAGTTTTAGTCTTGATGCTGATAGCCAGCGGGGTCGGACCGAAGTCGCTGAGGGTGAAGTGGGTGAGGTCGATGCCCTCGCCTGCGAGGTCCGAGAGGTTTTCAGAGAGCCTGTCGCCTTCTCGCTCAGGCTGGAGAAAGATGCCGTAGTCCACCTCGCTCTCCCTTAGCATAGGGTCGCCATCGTAGAATGCCTCGAGCGTGCGGCACAGCCTGATATTCCGGAAGTCTACGGCATCTTGGCCCTCGAGAGCTTCCTCCAGGACACGGCAATGCACCAGATCGTTCCACGCGGGCTCATATTCCATCTGATCTTTACACTTCAGACTATTCCGGCAGATCCTCTGCATCTGACGATGGAATGCTCTCAGCTCTTCTTGTCCCTCTGTCGCAGTGTAGAACCACTCCGGGCGCGGCTGGTCAAAAATGCCGGCGTTGGCGCTCATACATTCCTGTAGTTAGGCAAGACATCATCAGCCTAGGTCGCAGGCCGCAGCGAGTGGAAGCGAGTAGTAGAAAATTCCCATATCTCACATAGAACATGTCGGGGATCAGACATTGCCTGCCATCAGTGATCTTCTTCAGATCAAAAGCCAGGCTTTCCAACACGGCAGGGGCCGACTTAAGTTGGGCAATGTTGACGCGGGCGATAGGCCAATCGAGGGCATGGCGAAGTGCGACCTCTTTCTTGCGGGGACTGCTTCTTCCCGATCGCGATGTGCCATTGGTGTCAGCGGTGTTGCTGGATATGGCTTCCCTCATGGTCTGATCTCGACCTGGATGAGGACGATGGTCAGTTCGAGGTAGCGCAGCAAGGTCATCGTTACGGAAGTCTAGGCGTTGTCGCTTGTTTGACGGTGAATCGAGTCCGTCGGGCGTGGTGACGGTTTGGTCGCCGGCGTTAATGATATGGCCAATCCAAGCCTCGACGGCCGCGTTCAGTGCAGGCTGTGAGTGCATGTGGGCCAAAAAGTTTGGTATACCCTCGCTATGGCCAAAAAAAGCGGCAGACCAAGTCCCTGGATAACTTACTTTGCTACAAAAGTGAAAAAAGACAAAAAGAAGAAACCAAAAAAAGTGAAAGAAGACAAAAAAGAATAAATATAGAGAGTGACAAAAGACAAAAAAGAGTAAATCAATCAAAATTTACCAAGATTCGATCGAATGTTAATGGATTGGACTGGAGCTATGTGTTTCAGTGTGTCGCTTTTCTTGGCCACAGTGAGATACCATACTATCGTGTTGATCTACTCCGATCCCAAAGTTGAAGCTTTGAATGGGGGATGGGGTTTTGATTGGTTTCGTGTCATGAGTCGTGATCCAAATGTGGGGTAACGAGGCATTTGACAAGTACGAATAATTACAGTTGGAAACTTCTATACGATGGACTTAGTTATCAGAGGAAATGAAGTAAAGGAGAAAATTCCCTTTCCCTTCCTCTTCCCTCATCTCCCCTCGAGTCTTTAATAATGTTTAGATGAATGGGGCTGTAGAGCTACCCGCGAAGTAAATGCATTTAATTGCTGTAAGATATTCTTTCCGTCTTTTTCCCTGCCCATTGATCTCCACATTATCTTTCGGAAGTCGAGGTGCTTGGCCTGATTTAACCACCTGCTCAACGCCGAATGTTCACGTCAAATATCTGTGCGTATGGGTAAAAAGGGATGAGATATGTAGTCAAATAGTACCCGATCATACAAAATTTTGAACGCACATGGAAGAGTTTGCATCAACTTGTCTGGTGTTCGCCGACTTTTGCTAGGGAGATCACGTGATCTGGATTTTCCGCCCACACAATTTGCAAACCCGCAACTGCCTGGCCAGGGCTCGGCCGAGCCAACGCATTCTCCACGAGGCGAAAAAATCTCGAGACAGCGCCAGCCAAGTCGCCAGCATCTCTCACGCTGCGTCGCGCTGCTCTTTAAGCAACCCATCGAATCTCCTCGAGACCTGCCGCCGCGCAGAGGAGATTGCCCATCATGGTACGTCGATTCTCCCGGAATTTGCACGATGTGGGCGGGCGAAAACCTAGTCACCAAAAACGGCGATGCGAATACAACCCCTCCCCGCTCCGTAGTATTGTCGCCAACAGCCCACCTCGTCGACCACGTCCTTTGCCCACGCCCACGCCCACGCCGACACTTTCCGCCCCGGCCGATTGTCTCATTTGTGGCCGAACTCTAACTGACCATCTCACAGCCGCCTCCGCCGCATCAAAAACCCGAAAATGTCCTCAAGAGGGCCCACGAACTCATCGGGGTCAACCAGGCCCCCGCCGCCCTGAACCTGCTGCACGAACACATCACATCGAAGAGGTCCCGAAATGTCCCCATCGCCTCGCTGGAGCCGGTTATGGTCCTGCTCGTTGAGCTGGCCGTGGAACAGAAGAAGGGAAAGCTCGCCAAGGACGCTCTCTACCAGTACAAGAACATCGCCCAGAACACCAACGTGGGCACCATCGAGCTTGTGCTCAAGAAATTCATCGAGCTGGCCGCCGAGAAGGTCACTGTCGCCCAACAGAAGGCGGATGAGGTCCAATCCAGCCTCGAGGCCACTGCCGAGACCTCCGGCATCGACGATCTCGAGGCCAGCGAGACCCCGGAGTCCATCCTCCTAGCCACCGTCTCTGGCGAGCAGTCCAAGGACCGCACCGACCGCGCCATTGTCACTCCGTGGCTGAAGTTCCTGTGGGAGGCCTACCGCACCGTTCTTGATATTCTCCGCAACAATGCCCGCCTTGAGCTGCTTTATCAGAGCACGGCCATGCAGGCCTTTGACTTCTGCCTCAAGTACACCCGCAAGACCGAGTTCCGCCGCCTGTGCGAGCTGCTCCGCAACCATGTCCAGACCGCTGCCAAGTATTCGTCTCAGATGCATGCTATTAACCTCAACGACCCGGATACCCTCCAGCGCCACCTCGAGACTCGGTTTCAGCAGCTGAATGTGGCCGTCGAGCTAGAGCTCTGGCAGGAGGCCTTCCGCAGTGTGGAGGACATCCACACCCTGTTGAGCCTCAGCAAGCGCCCGGCCAAGAACATCATGATGGCCAACTACTACGAGAAGCTTACTCGTATTTTCCTGGTTGGCGAGAATTACCTCTTCCACGCCGCTGCCTGGGCGCGCTACTACAACCTCCTGCGCCAGTCGGCGGCCATGCTCGCCGCTGGCCAGAGCAGAAAGTCCGACAGCCCGCCTGCCAGCGATGCCGACCTTGAGCGGGCCGCTACTTTTGTCGTCCTCTCGGCTTTGTCCATCCCGGTCATCAGCACCACCCGCTCGCGCGGTGCCATGGTCGACTTTGACGAGGCCCGCAAGAACAAGAACTCGCGCCTTACCCATCTCCTGGGCCTATCCCAGGCGCCCACCCGCGCTACCCTTTTCCGCGACGTTCTCTCCAAGGCTCTCCTCCGCCGCGCCCGTCCTCAGATCCGGGACCTCTACAACATCCTCGAGGTCGACTTCCACCCTCTTTCCATCTGTCAGAAGATCTCCCCGATTCTCGCCCAGGTCGGTGCCGACGAGGAGATGCAAAAGTACATCCTCCCTCTGCAGCAGGTCATCCTTACCCGCCTGTTCCAGCAGCTGTCTCAGGTGTACGAGACGGTCGACCTCGAATTCGTCCAGAGCCTGGCTCAATTCCCGGAGCCCTTCCAGGTCACCCGTGGCACCATCGAGAAGTTTATCATGAACGGCAACAAGAAGGGCGATCTCGCCATTCGCATGGACCACGCCACCGGCGTCCTGAGCTTCGACGTCGACGTCTTCTCCTCGGCCAAGGCCGTCCACGCCGGTTCCGCCGCCGGCTCGGCCGAGAGCGAGGTCGGCTCCGTGCAGCGCCTCCAGAGCACACCATCCCAAATCGTCCGTTCTCAGCTCACCCGCCTTGCTGAGGTGCTCTTCACCACCTGCCGATACATCGACCCCTCGTTCAACGAGGCTCGCATCCAGGCTCGCGATGCTGCTCTCGTCCGTGCCAAGGCTGGTGCGGAGAAGGAGCATCTCGATATTCTGGCCAGGAAGGAGGTGATTCAGAAGCGCAAGGATAAGGCATCTGAGATCCAGGCCCAAAAGGATAAGGAGAATGCCCGCAAGAAGGCGCTCCAGGAGCAGGCCTTGCAACAGGCCGAGGCCCAGCGCCTCGCGGAGGAGCAGCGGGTCCGTGAGCAGAAGCGCATGGCTACGGAGCGCGAGCAGATCAAGAAGAAAGAGGTCGAGAGCATGCTCAAGGATATGAAGCTTGATGACGTTGAGCTCGAAGACCTCGATAATCTTGATAGCAACAAGATCCGCATGATCAAGCTGCAGCAGCTTGAGCGGGAGAAGAACACGATCGCCGAGAAGCTGCGTGTCACCGGCAAGCGTCTCGACCATCTCGAGCGTGCCTTCAGGAAGGAGGAGGCTAAGAAACTCCCCGAGGACTACGCCAAGCAGCGCGAGCGCGATATTGCCGAGTACGAGCTGGTCAAGGCCCAAACCCTCAAGGAAGCGGAGCAGAAGCACAAGGCGGACGTGGAGCTGAAGCACCGCCTTACCCGCCTCATGCCCCATTACGAGACCTTCCGCGCTGACCTGCACGAGCGCCGCCGCGACCTGTTCGAGAAGCGCCGTCGCGATGCCGAGCGTGAGCTCGAGAAGCAAGTCACGCTCCGGCGCAAGGAGTTCCGCGAGCGCAAGATCCGGGAGAAGCGCGAGCGCGAGGAGAAGGAACGTGCTCTCCGGGAAGCCGAGGAGCGCGCCGAGCGCGAGAAGGAAGAAGAGCGGAAGCGACAGGAGGCCCGTAAGGAGGAGATGGCCCGGATTCGCGAGGAGCGTGAGAAGGAGCGCGAGCGTGCCAAGGAAGCCCAGGCCCGCCAGCAGCAGCGCGAGGAAGAAGCCATGGCCCGGCGCAAGGCCGAGAAGGCCGCTGCTGCCGCGGTACCCATCCGGGAGCGCGAGCCCATCCGGGAACGCGAGCCATTGGCCGCCTCTGCCGGTGGTCCGCCCCGTCTCGCCCTCGCCGGCAACAAACCCAGCTGGCGCGAACGGGAAGCCCTCAAGAACGCCGGCGGCGGTGGTGCCCCATCGGACAACACCCCGCCCCCGGCCCGTGCCGCTGCCCCGCCCTTGGAGCGCAACGACTCCAGCGACCGCGCGCCCACCCGGGAACGCGAGCCCAACCGGGAGCGTGAGCCAGTGGCCGCCTCTGCCGGCGGTCCTCCCCGTCTTGCGCTCGCCGGAAACAAGCCTAGCTGGCGTGACCGGGAGGCTGCCAAGAACGCCGCTGGCGGCGGTGGTGGTGCTAGCGGAAGCACCCCGCCTCCCGAGCGTGGTGGTGCTCCGTTGCCCCGTGGTGGTGCGCCGCTCCCCAGACGTGGTGGTGCCCCCCCGCTTGACCGCACTGGCTCGGGCCGTGGCGAGAGGGAACCCAGAGACCCCAGAGAGTCGCGGGACAGCAACAACAACAGCCCCGCGCCGGAGCCGCTCAAGCCTAGTGGCGCGCCGGGCAAATGGGTGCCCAAGTTCCGCCAGGGGAATTAAGGAGGTTGTCAAGGTGTTAGGTAGATCCCGGTGCTCTCAAGTGCGGATGCGGTTGAGCACAGAAAACTGATGGAAGTCCAATTGAGGACGGAAATGAATGAACGGGACCAAAAATGAAGATTACGGGGAGGGGGGGGTTAGTTAAGGCAGGCAGGCAGGTTGTGGGCGTGGTGGGAAATCAACGGGAAAGGGGGGGCGTGGGTGGTTCATGCTAAATGCCAGTTTTCTTCCTCCTTTTCTTTTTTCACTCGTTGACGGGGACATCGCAAGATGGTTTTCTCGCGCGCTCGCATCATGATTTGGAGTTTTAATGTTGAGTGCATTTCTTCCGTAAAATCTCGGTCGCTCGTATAACGCAGGCACGTCTTGTCTTGTCTTGTCTCGTGCGTGCATTATAGTCGTTCTCCCTTTTGGGCGGTGACAAGTTTGTAACCTTGATGTAGGTCGAGGAGATAGGGAATATGCCGTGTTTGTGTCTCTACGTCCTAATGGTGTCTTCATTGCCCTAATAATAAGATTGAGGGAAGTCTTAAGAGGGAAAGGCGAATCAAAAATTGGGGGGTGTTATGCGCTCCTGGAAACGAGAACCTCCCACCATATGGACTTCCGACCTTTTCTCCTTCCCCCATCTCTCACTTCTCATCCTTTTCCCCTCTCGTGTCGTCCTACTCCCTGGGAAACCCAGCCAAGCAACCTTCTCAAGCCAATCTGCTCGACCCAGACCCGGCATATATGAACCATCTCCCACATGCCTTCCCACCATCACATTCCTAAGAGTAGAAACGACGACACCGGGAGAGCAAAGGTCACGTAGGAAAGTAGATTCTAACCCCTTGTGTTGAATCTCAACGTTTCGCTGGTATTTTCCCGTCCACTCACCATCTCAGCCTGGAGGTTGTCCCGATCAACCGGTTAGGTCTGAGCGCAAGTAGACAGCCCTAACCCTAGTGTGGCTCGCTCCCAAGGTTCCCTGGGGGGTCACGAATAGGGCGATTAGGCTGGCCGGCGGCAACTTCCCCTTTGCCGAGGGTCCTGTTGGCGTGAGGTCTGCTTGCCGTCGACGTTCTCGAGACGTGTTTCTCTTCAGTACAATGGTTTGAGTTTGAAATATCAGTGGGGCGTGGGTTAAAATCCAGCCCCTTGTCAAGTCTCGGTTTCCATGAAAGTGACTCCTTGACTTGTTAGTCTGAGAAGTGAATGTTGCGACTCTTCCCAACTGGGTCTGACTGAGACAAACACCTCTTCGACAATGCGGCTCAAACAACCTAACGCTGCTATACTTGGAGAAACCGACTCTAAAACAGCTGGGTCTAGACCACCATGGACCTTATCGTACCTCAAGCCAGCCAGTGAGGTCACCGGTGAGACAAAAAAGAACAGTTCCAGTTATTCTCCGCGTGGTTGCATCGAACCAATTCCAGCCAGCCGGATTTAAAGTCCCGGGATGTTCCCCATTCCTCTGGATATGGAAGAGAAAAGGGTAAAAAAGGCGCCTCGTATGCACGGGCGGGGCTGGGGCTGGGGTTGCAGCCGCATCTGTGAGATGAAGTGGCCCTTGGAACGATGGAACCCTCACGGCGGGCGTCAGATGCGGCCGTGACTTTTGGTCACACTCGCGGCCTGCTATGTTCTTCCCCGGGAACCTACTTCTCGGCCTGAAGAAAAATATTCATATCTTAAAAGCACGAAGTGCTCTAGGTTTTACAAGGAAGGGGATAGACTCTGGTCCTAGAAGTACTACTGCGTCGTAGGTACTGTACAAGTCTAAGTAGGAACGGCAGGGCGACGCTTGTGACGGGAAAAGGGCGATCCGGCAGATAGAGCGGAGCAATGGCTTGGGCCGCCGGCTCACTAACCATCTTAGTGATAGATCAAAGACCGAAAAAAAAAAAACATCGTGAAGGCCCTCTCGGGGTTTGGGTCTGCGAGTCACGCGCCAAGCCCAGCTGAGGTGGACGAACCAAGTCTGCTTTGTGTGGGAAGCCTTCAGCCCTTGCGTCAATAGTCCGAAATCCGGGGTATGCAATGCCACGGGCAGATGCAGGATTCGCACATTATTTTTGCCCCAAAATCTGCTCTCCTTCCTGGTTTCTAGATACCATCCACCTGTCCGAGCAGTGAGAGTATCATTGGTGAGTTCTGATGGGGAATGCTCCCTAAACCCGAACCCGAGTCCCTGGTCGTCTTGGTCGTGTGTGTGGTTGGTCTCTCCCTCGCGTTTGCCGTTGGTCTCTTTATCGAGTGTCACGGTTGTACCAATATCTGACAGGCGTTGTGACCAAGGGGAAAGTGGCGCTTAGTTCGCGGCAGGCGGAACAATAATCGCCGGGTCGTGGCAGAAAATGATCTCAAAGATACAAAAACGGCCGTTTGACGGGTTCGCAAATGCAGGAATAATGCAGTGTGCCTCGAGTGCCTAATATTTTGTCTCTGCAGGTTTGTCCTGTAACTATTCTGGCTGCTGTACGTAGTCTGGAGCTAAAAATATCAGAGTACCTGGGGAGAAGAGGCAAGGGAACAAACAAAGAAACCGTCCAATTAGGATTCAACGGCATCACAACATCGAATATCCGGGTCTTCCGGTGGCGTGATCTCAAAATCCAGCACTCATCGTAGACTCTCCCGAACCCCTGAGAGTTCGAGCAAGAGCAATGAGGTTGTTCTCCTCCTTCATTGATCGAGAACCCCGAGAAACCTACTGTGAGTATGTGTGGTGAGGACCGACCGCAACCACAAAGCGGAGAGAAAGACCACGATCCAGGGTCCGGAGTGGTAAATGGATCAAGTTGCGAGAAAAAAAAGAGAATGAAGAGAGGAGCGGGCTCAGGGTCTAAGCTGAACCACCGCAGCAAGCGGGGCCAGATATTGCTGGCCCAGACCCGTCGAATTTCAGCGCGCTACTGCAGGTACGCCGCCAGTCGACCAATCAGAACGCTGCTTCTAGCGTCGTCCCTTCCCGTTTTGTACTGGACGGGCGGTGCCGCGGCGGCCACGACGGACTGATCGATTTTTCTTCTCTTTCCAGCGTCCTTCCTTCCAGGTTCCCCACACCGACAACCGACCCGTCCTGCGATGCCGCCCACGATCCAGCTTCTATGCAATGCCAGCGCCATGGCTCCTCGTTTTCCCCTCTCTTTCGGACTTATTCCTCATTCGGTTCGTGGCCAGGTCCCCGAGCAGGGCTGAACTTGAACGAGAGACGAGGCGAGACGGCGACGGCGCCCGAGGGGAGGAGCTCAACAAACGGGCTGGCCATGCGTTTATTTCACGGACTTGGTGAGAGAAAAGAGGGGACGTCGAGATTCTCGAATCAGAGTCTTGGCTCTATCTTGGATCATGGACCCTGGACCTTAGCGAGAAACCGCCGGTGAAGCGCTCAGGGCGCTCGTACATAGCGGCACCCTCTTTCCCATTGCAGGGTTATTCCTGATGGCTCGTTGGGCTCGGGGCGCGCTCGCAAGACTGACCTTCCTCGCTGATGCCGATACTGAACGCCAGCTTTGATTCTTAGCAGGGTTTGCTGCTTGGTGTTGGAGGCTATGGTGCGGCTACTCCTTCGACGAGCCACCCAATACGGCTGAAGGAGCTCGAGTGAATGGTGGCCCTGATGACCCCTGTTCGACGCTCGGGGACCTGAAAACTACAAACAGCCAGCCATCGTGGAGACGCCGATATGTGCCGACAGCCATCCATCGTCGCTACCAACCGGCCTGGGCCCGGCCTAGAACGTAGCCCCAAGCCCTCACCGTAGTGCATCGACGCTAACCAGCGTTGAGGCCCAGCCCAATGGATCTGACCGCTGTGCTTCGTTTGGTCTCTATCCCCTGGTTCAATATTCTGCAAGTATCGTGTACGAGGTAGCGTTGCTGTTTATTGCCGTTCGTGGTGGTTGTATAAAGGAGTCGATGTTCCCGGGGGCTGAAGTTCTTCTTCTCTCTCGTTCTGCAGGGCAACTCTAGCACAACCTTTATCTTGACTGGCATCTCTTTGCTCCCTACTATGGCCCCCCTTCGAACAGCCGCCGCCTTCGCGGCGGTGGTCTTGGCCGCCCACGTCCAGGCCACCGAGGTGCCTCTCCCGCCCTGTCTTGACCCCTTCCAGCCCTTCGTCTACTCGGGCTGCTTCCAGGAGACCAGCAACACGCAGCTGCTCCCCTACCGCAGCCCGTCCACGCCCGACAATATGACCGTCGAGGAGTGCGTGGCCGAGTGCAAGGGCAATGGCTACCGCTACGCCGGACTCGTCTACTACGGCGTGTGCTACTGCGGCCAGACCGTCAACGGGCCTCAGGTGGACGAGACGCAGTGCAACTTGCCGTGCAAGGGGAACGAGACGGAGACATGTGGTGGGAATGGTATCTTCTCGGTGTACTCTGACCCGACTTTCTTGCCGGTTGAGGATGTTACCATTGAGGATTATCATGCCCTGGGGTGCTGGACCGACGACTCCAGCATGGGCCGTGCCTTGGTCTACCGTCAGGATCAGGTTGCGAGCGCCTCCTTGACGACGAAGTCGTGTCTGCAGGCCTGCCGCGATGGCGGTTATCCCTTTGCTGGTACCGAGTTTGGTGGTACGTGATGCACGCCAGTTATTTTGTTCTTCCCTTCCCTTCCTTCATCCCGGGTTACTGACATGGGAAACAGGCGAATGCTACTGCGGCGTGGTCATCGGCAACGACACATACACAGCGCCCGCAGAGGACTGCAGTATCCCCTGCAACGGCGACTCGACCGAGATTTGCGGCGGTCGTGGACGTCTGAACCTGTTCGTCGCCCACGAGCTGCAGTCTCTCGAACCGTGCGGCTACGAGCCGCCTGTCTCCAGCAGCACCACCACGGCATCAACGTCAACCACTACGCCCCCTCCGGAGACCTCCACCACCGTCACGGTCACCACCACGACCAAGGCCACCACCACCACCAGCAGCGTCTGCACCACCACCACCGTGATCCCCCCGACCTGCGAGTACAAGTGCGGCAAATGGTGCTCGTCCCCGCTCCCCGACTGGGACGACGTCAAAACCTGCAAGCACGCCTGGTCCAACTGCGCCGTGCAAGTCGCCTCCTGCTTCAAAGGCGCCGGCTGGCCCGACGTGCTGGACTGCTTCGATTTCGGCGCCTGGTGCGGCGACGTCGCAACCTACTGCGACAGCAACCCGCGCGGCGGCTGCTTCAAGGGCGATTTCTGGGGCAAAAAGCCCCCCAAGCCGGGCCACGGCAACCCGCCCAAGACCGTAACCGTCACCACCGCCTGCCCAACCACCACCGCCACCAAGACAACCACAACCACCAAGGCCACCACCGCAACCACCACCCCCACGCAATGCCCCATCCCAACCCCAACCAACATCTGCATCCAACCCTCCAGCAAACTCTACAACTACGGCCCCGGCCATCCCGTCGGCGGCATCGCCCTGCCCATCGTCACCTGCAACGACCTCGCCGCTGACTGGCCCGCCTACCCTTTCAAGGGCTACACCGACCCGGACAGCCGGCGGTGCAAGAAATACCCGCGCAACCAGTGCACCAATGCCTGCGCTGATGCGTGCCGGGAGCAGTATGAGGATTGTGTGGATGTTTATGCGCAGGGGTGTAAGACGAAGCCGACGGGGTGGTGGGTTCGTGGGAGGGGGGTGGCTGCTGAGGAGCGTGGGGAGCGTGGGATGGACTTCTCGCCGGTGCAGAGACGGACGTTGTTGGGGTGGGGTGATGATTACACCGGGGCGGTTGTTAAGTGTAGGGCGCAGTATGCGGATTGTTTGAGTGAGAATAGGGGGGTTACGGGGGCGGGGAAGTGTCCTAAGTTTGGGGGGTGGTAGACAGTAGGGTTTAGGGAGCTTGGTTTAGGAGTAGGGGGGGAGGTTGAGGGGGATGTTGGGTGAGGGGGGGGGG